TCCAATGAATGCTGGATTTACTGGTGCTGATATTGTGGCGATTACTAGTATGAAAGCAACATAAGAGAATCATTTAGCGGCCTGCTTGTCTTTGGCAACATCACACCAGAAACAGGATTCCCTTTGGAATGGTCTCAATACATGGCGTTACATTTCATATTATCAATGCATATTGCTCATATTGATGGATTGGCAGTTCTCACTGCCGGCTTCATTCTTTAGCTCGATTCTTTATCATCTTTCCATTGCTGTGTGCCAAATTGAGAATTGAATTGTTCCCCTGAAGCTAGCAGTTCTATATGCAATGATGTTGGTTGCATTTCCTACCTTGAAGCAAGTTGAAGCAAGAAAAGACAGCTAGGAGACCTGAATTTCAATTGCATAAAAGCAAGCAGAAAATATATGTATAGGCCCTTTTTGTTCCAACAAAGTTGTTGTTGTTTAGTCATTTAGTCGTGTCCGACTCTTCGTGACCCCATGGACCAGAGCACGCCAGGCACGTCTGTCTTCCACTGCCTCCCGCAGTTTGGTCAAACTCATGCTGGTAGCTTTGAGAACACTGTCCAACCATCTCGTCCTCTGTTGTCCCCTTCTCCTTGTGCCCTCCATCTTTCCCAACATCAGGGTCTTTTCCAGGGAGTCTTCTCTTCTCATGAGGTGGCCAAAGTATTGGAACCTCAGCTTCAGGATCTGTCCTTCCAGTGAGCACTCAGGGCTGATTTCCTTAAGAATGGAGTGGTTTGATCTCTTTGCAGTCCATGGGACTCTCAAGAGTCTCCTCCAGCACCATAATTCCAACAAAGTTAAGATACCCCCAATACTACTGAAATCAATAACACTTGGCAGCCTTATCCTATCCAAATTTACTTAGAAATAAGTATCATTACATTAAGTGGGACTTACTTTCCAGTAAGAAGGCTTAGGGTTGTAGCTTTAAATATTTACTAAGTGGGTATCTTTTGGCCCTTCAGACATTGCATGAGTATAACTTCCATCATCTCCAACCATTGGCCATGGTGGCAGGGGCTGATGGAAGTTGAGTCTCAACATTTAGAAGGCCTTAGAAGTCAGCCACCCAGATTTGCTGGAATGTGTGTCTAACTTTTTTTGGGCTGAGCCCAAAACAGAAATACTGAACTTCTTGGAATAATGTGCCCATCTCAAAGGTGATGATTTATTGATCCACACTGTAAACTCACTGCAGTTCTAAAATACAAAGTGTATACACATTCAGCACCAATGTTTCCATGGTATATTAGAAAGGGAGGATGGAGATATGAAGCATCTGAAGTATACTACAGGCTTGGATCCTGCAAAAGATAGTGGTGATTATCCTATTGCCAAAAATAATTTCTGAGTTTCTTGTGACTAACTTCTTAAACTGGTTTCAATGAGAATGCAGTTCCAAGCTTGATTCCTAGGGAGTAATTCTCTATCACCTGGTTTGCACATGAGGCTAGCCCATGTTTTAACGTTAGTCATTTTTAACAAACCATAGTTACATATTTAGGCATATGGCAAATGATCACGTAAACCTTGGTTTATTGCAATATTCCCCTTTAAAGAAACACAAGCCAGGAAGAGTCACTTTTCACTTGCGTCTTTGTAGCTTTTGGGTGATGATGGCTCCTTAATCAATATTCACACATTAACACTAGGCCATGGTTAATCTTAACTAAGTTTTATAAGCCCACTGCAAGCCTTGCTTTATGTGTGACCTATAACCATACTTAATAAAACTGTAATTAAATTGCAGGGTTGGGTTCATGCATAACACTTAAGCCATGGTTTAAAAAGCCATGGTTTAAAAAGCTATGGTTTAGCATTATGTGTAAACCTGGCCATTGTATTCATTGGACTTACAGCTGAATAAACATGCATAGGAATGAACTTCTAAAAATCTTTAGCTGGAAGGTGATCTACAACTTTTGTGGATGTGTAATCCAGGTCTGTACAGTGATTTCATTATAATCAGGACATATAAAACAATCCCAACACTTTGTTGTTATATTAAAGACTTGACTGAATACAGTATGAAAGTAACTACAAAATATATGTCATTTTCAGATGTACCATTCAGTTCAGGTTTCAAGTCTGTAAACTGCATTTTTTTAAAGTGTACCAGTACACCTTTTGAGGAACCCAGTGTTGACACAAACCTTACTATATTGCCTGGTTTCTAATCATAAACTAAAGAGGACAACAATTTGTATGTAATCCAGTTACCAAAAAACCCAATTGATTTGTACAATAACTGGAGGATTTATATTTTATATTCACATTGCACTGTATATTTTAAAAATTGATGTACAATCCATCTTCACACACCTAAGCCCATACTTAAATGCTTAAGTATGTTCTTCAAACTTCCTCGTTAAAAACAGAAAGTTTTAAATGTGGTTCATTTTGGGCTGGATCATGTCACTAATGAGTGATTTCCAGCACTGCACAATTCAATGTATGTTTACTCAGAAATAATGGGGACTAATCCCTAGTGTATACATTTAGAATTGTTACCTTAGATCCATATAAACTAATTATGACAAGTGAACAGAAACTGAGTATCACAATTTGACTATATTATATCAAAAAAATGATTCTGTTCCCCATCAGCTTTGAAAATTGATCAGTTAATCAATCGCAAATCAAACCGAACCAAATTTTTAGTCCGATTGCAATCCATCCTTTACTGTACAGTCAGATTAGGAACAGCTATGGTACTAGCTAATTGACCTATTTTATTTTTGTTTGATTTGGCACAAAAGAATTGTATCAAATTACTTGGATTGAAAAGGGCAACTGTCCAACAGTACAGCTAATCTAATTAATCTTCTACTATAGAATCAGAAATATTGAGGCCTCTAGTCCACATATTTCTCCTACTCTTTATTTTTTAATTTACAAAAAATACTGCATTATCTCTTTAAGTGATGCATAATCTTTTCTATGTCTGCTATCATAAAAAAAAAACAAGTACTTGTAATTGGAATTGGAATCCAGTTTACTGCTTTCCCAATAGATTTCTAATTAAATCAATTGTGATTTATAACACAATCCGAAACATGTCTGCTTGAAAATCACTCTCACTGACCTGTTTAGGATTGGCGAAGTGGTATTTTACACTCTAAAAGGAAAGATCAAACTCTGCACAAAAGAAAAAAGGATTTCTTAAAAGAGTTTGAATAAAAACCTGACTCACAACCTTGCTTCATCTAAAATACACCTGCATCTGAGATGATAACAATAATTCCTTGGAAGGCAATGCTATAAAATAATCTGAAATTACCCAGTTAACCTGATGTACATACTAGAAAGGGGGAAATCTTAAATTCCAAGCAGAGCGACACCCACCAACAGCTCAGCTGAAGGCATTTTTGTTGCTTATTCCATTTTTTGATCACCCATTTTTTCAAGGTTAACTTCCATAAGCTTAAACAGATTGCATTTCCAACTTCCTATTAAATCTCATGTTGTGCATAAACTATATTCCTGTGGGTCAATTACTTAATAATTAATCCCTGAAAGCAGATCTGTAAAAGTTATAATGACTAACTACATCTATAGAATGCAATTTTTAAGATGTGCAGTTGCAAATAAATGCAAATCCAGAAACTCGATTTGACAACAGTATTCCTGATAAATTGTTTGAATCGACTGCTGCTTCCAGTTCATAACTTGGGGTAGACCATCAACCCAGTTTCATACTGACCCTTAAAATGGGACCACATAATTTAGATTTAAAAACATATATTAAATTACAGTTACATAGGTCCACTTCAGGTGGAAATTTCTAATAACGGTCCAACCCTAAAACAATTCACTTTAAAGTTTGTATCACTAAAACTTTCCAAAGTACAGTACAAATCAACTATAAAGTTAATGATGCAAATAATTGTTTCAGAAAACTCAGCGTGGATTACCCTGAGTTATAAATGAGTATGCATGTAATTGCAGCAAATTCTTAATTTTAGAGGGTAGCAGACAAAGTATTTTTTTTCAAGAATACGGAATGTTATTGTTGTACGGTATTAATATTTCTGCAAATACACAGAATTCCGTTCTGCCAGTGAGCTAACATATTTCACAGCATCACTTCTTTGATAAATGTTTAGAATGCAGAAATAAAACATGCAGCCTTTAAAAGAGGTTGATGCTGCAATACTTTATCACACACTTATCTGGGAGTTAAGTCCCATTGAACCCAAAAGGTCTTGTTTCTGAAGGACCGCACTAAGACAACAAGAGAACAATCCTCTATGTATCTATTCAGATGCCCCACTGAATTGAATGGTTTGTCTGTATAGCAATGAAATGTGAACAGTGGTATTAGTAGGCGAAATCTAAAAGACACACAAAATTGATGAAATGGGAGTTTGGCAAACTGCTATGTGCTCTTTTGCACACACCCAGTAGTCATATGCAGGTTGTAAACATTATTGAGCATTCCCTATCTGAAATCCAAGTCCCACCAAATTCAATGAAGGTTAAAGATACTAAAAAAACCTTTTGTTTGATAGTTCCCATAGAAGTCCTGTTTTAATAAGATGGACAGAGAAATCCCACGCACATCTACTCAGAAGTAAGCCCCACTGAGCGGAGTTTACTCTCAGGTTAAGTGTATATAGGATTGCAGCCCTTGTGTACACTTCTTCTAAAGAAACGACTGTCATCATAGTTTGCATTTTCCTCCTTTTTGGAATACTACAACTCTTGTTTTTATTGCTAGATGCAACTAACAGACATCGTCCTCTCCTGCTCTATTTGAATGTTATAAACTCTGATCAGTGAGAGCTTCCAGAAATAATGAGTGGAGCCACAAGGAAGTCAAGCCCTACCCTTCACCCTGATCACAATGGGGAAATGCGAGGGATCAGTTGCAAAAGCTGGGAAAATCGAATAATGAGATACAAATTACTCTGGGGAGTGTTGACCAAATAAAGGAGGATTTGTTTGTTTGGGCAAAAAAACCCCGCTTAAAACAGAAACAAATAAAAAAAAAATCAAATGAAACAAACTCAGTTGGGTCTTCTCCATATGACCCCAGAGTTAATGTATTTATTATCACACTGCAGTTGCAGGTTGCTTTACAGACACATCTCATGCTATAGCCCCCCATATGGAGCCAAGATCAAGGAGGGGGAGGGGGAAAAACATTTTTTTAATTCAAACAAAGCTATTAAATAAGCTGTACACAAAAGGTTGGCCTTTCCCCCGAAGAAAGGCATAAAATTATAATAATGAAAGGAGCCAGGCCCTCCATAGACAGGCTAATGCTGCAGTTGTTTTTATTTAAAACCGTAATCCAGCCCACTTTGACCAGATCGTTTCAAAAATGGTATTTTGGGTGTGTGTGTGTGTGTCTGAGGCTATGCCCTCTAGTCCGAGGAATTGTTGCAAACAGTTGGCACTGTAAGTCCTGATCCTTTGGGGGGATCCTCACAGGTGACCGGAACTGGGAGTACCAGGAGCAAAAACGTAGAAATCAAATAAATCCACAGGGCGGGTTGACGTAAACGGACATCTCCGACCCCCAGAGCACACAGTTCCAAATCTTGTTAAGATGAGAGGCAGGGTTCATCTGACCACTTCTGCTCCCAAGGCAAGGATCACATCCTGCATCTAGTCCCCTGAGGCCTGGGATCCCGTAGGCAGCAGCGTCACACTGGCCTCGATTCCGATATGGGATGATGCACCAACAACTGCTCCAAGCTCACGGAATACAGGCAGCTATGTTCAAAGGAGGTGTTTTGGTCCCCGCCCCCCTTTTCCAGGCCGCCCAGACTTTCAAGGGTGGGTCCTGGGTTCAAGTCCTCCTCCCAGAAACCTCTGCAAAAGTGGAGTTCCCCAGACCTCTAAGATCTGCAAGGTGGATCTGGAGAGGGAACCCCAGGCGCAGGCCAGGGCGCCTCGTGGCCCAGGGAGCGGGCGTGGGAGGGCAGCTCAGGCGCAGGTTGTCACATGTCCCTGGGCTCCTCCCTTTTGACGGTGGCACACGCGTGTCCGTGTCCCGGCGCGGCGGCGGCCTTGAGGCGCTTGTTCTGGTGCGTCTTGACGTGTTTGGCCAGGTGGTCGCTGCGCATGAAGCGCTTGCCGCACTCGGCGCAGCCGAAGCGCTTCTCGCCGGTGTGAGTCCGCAGGTGCCTCTGCAGCTCGTCGGAGCGCGTGAAGCTCTTGCCGCAGAAGAGCCAGTTGCAGACGAAGGGCCGCTCGCCCGTGTGCCAGCGCAGGTGCGCCTTGAGGTGCGACGTCTTGCCGTACACCTTCCCGCAGCCGGGGATGTGGCACACGTGCTGCTTCTTCTTGCCCGGCTCGGAGGAGGGCGCCCCGTCGGGGCCGCCGCCTCCACCTCCGGCCGCCGCCGCCTGGCAGTTGGGGCAGCGGCAGCGCCGGCACCTCCTGGCCGTGGCCGCCAGGGGCGCCTTGGGGTGCAGCAGCGCGGCTAGCTGCGTCTGGTACTGCGCCAGCTCCGACGGCGCCAAGACCAGGCCGCGCTGCAGGTTTCCCGCCGCGAAGCGGTGCGCGCAGCCGCCCGCGCCGGGCGCCGCCTGCTGGATGCTCCACCAAGGGATGTCGTCGGGCGCCGGCGAGAGCTGGGGCGCTGGCGGCGGGGGCCAGCAGGTTGGAGTAGCCCGGCGGCAGGGCCGCTTGGGCGGCGTAGGGCACGTAGGCGGAGGGCGGCGGAGCGCAGCTGGACGACAGCGCGCCCATGGAGGGCGGCGGCGGCGGCAGCATCTTGACGGGCGAGAACTCGTAGGGGTACGACGGGTCGGCCGGCGGCGTCAGCGGCAGCTCGTGGGCGCTGCCGAAGGCCGGCTGCGGGGTGAGGCCCAGGCTGGGCGGCGGCGGCAGGCCGCCCGGCGAGTGCGCCGGCATGTCGCTGCTCCACGGGTGGAAGATCCTGGACGGAGAGCCCAAGCTGGCCTCGTAGGACACCTGCAGGAAGTCCGACGGCGGACCCGATGCGCCGGGCTGCCCGATGCGGCTACAGGTGGCGGCCAGTAAAGCCAGCGGCGAGTGCTTGGCCACGTCGGGGGAGGCGCTCGGAGTGCGGTCCTGCGGGAGACACGTCGTTAGTCGCCCGTCGCCCAGCTGCCTCCCCGCCCACCAACAAGCGGGCACCGGCCGCCTTCTGGCTCCCCAGCGGCCTCTCCCCCAAAGTTCAGCAGCGGCATCGCTTGCCCAGCACGTGGGCGGGGAAGTTTCCCAGGAAACTTCAGAGGGGGCGGGCTGGAGTCTGCCTCGATCAGCCCCCCGCCAAACGCTGCGACCCCACTTCCTCGCCTTTGAAACCGGTGCCACCCCGGGGATGCTGCTTCCCGGAGCGAGGAAGCAAACCTCGCCCTTCCCCCGTCCACTCCAGCTTCGCCCTCCTTGCGAGCCTTGGCTGTAACCGGAGAGAGAAAAAGTTTCTCTCTGCCGATTCCAGGGCAGCCAGTCCCTCGAGCGAGCGCTAGGCGCGTATTCCCAAGCCAAGAAGTTTCTTCGCCAACCCAGAAGCCTCTCAACATTTCTGTTTCATCAGTTAGTAGCACCTTACAGCTCACTTCCCCAGAAGGGGCGCACAGCGATCCTTCAACTTTGGGGGGTCCCCCAGCAAAGGCATTCCCTCCCTCCTCTCTGCCTCCTTGCGCCTGGACGTTTAAAAAGATGCGCCCAGTTTTTTTGGTCTTTCTTTTTATGCGCCCCGTTCTCCTGCCCTCCACCTCCCGGCTCGACGGGGCGACTGACCTGGAGAAACGCTTGCAGAGAGTCGTTCCGAAGGACGGCCACGGCGGCCATGGCTACCGCGTCCGGGGCCAGGCGAGGCCAGGGGGGCGACGCCGCGGCATGGAGTCGCCAGGGGGAAGCCGGAAAGCTGCCCAGTTTCCTTCCTTCTCCCACCCACCCACTTTCAGATTTCCTCGCCTTTTGCACCCCCCTCCACTAGGCAGGCAGCCCCGGCTCAGCGCGATCTCCGCGGACTGTCTGCCTGCGCCAGGATCACCTCCAAGAATTTGATAAGGACTTTGCTGGGCCGCCAGCCAGTCAGAAGGAAGATTTATGGCTTTGAAGTTTGCCGCTACCCAATCATCAAAGAATAGCGGCTCTTTCAGAAGCGAAAGCAAATCCTTTGAATCCACAAAGCTCCTATGGTGTGTTTGTTGGTCTGGATAAAAGAGCTGATTATTAGGGGGGATGGGAAGGGAGGAGATAAAGGCGGGACAATTAATGAAGTAATCACTATGTGGGAAATGTATATACACAAATAATTGGATTTTCTTGATCAAAGGGTCCTTTACCGCCTGGAGACCCCTCTCACTCGACGTGCAAGACATTGCATCTCAACCCCGCCCAACCCCCACCTTCCCATCCCTTAAAAAAAGAAAAGAAAAAGTATATTAAGATTAAGGATTTGTAGCAGAGCCCAAAAAGGGACAATACTTCTTCGTAATCTTCAGTTACATCAGCCCCGGGTTTCCCTGTTCGACTATTGTATATCGTTTGCCAATAGTTTTGTTGTCACCAAATGACTTAAAAGTTCACTTATTTGTAAATAACTTTTGAGCGCGTTGGCAACTCGCAGCCCGACAGGAAAAGTTCTTGCACTTTGTGGGGCCTGATTTTCTGGAGAATACAAGCGAGAACAGGAACAATCAGCAAATGTATCATTTTGCGCCAGTTCCTTTGCTCTTCTGGGATCGGGGCTTTGCCAACGCTTTGTTATGCTGCAAACAGCATGATTTCTCCCCTTGTTAAAAACTGGGAGTGCAAGACCAAAAGTGTTGTTGGTTTTTTTCTTTCTCTCCCCCCCCCAGTAGTATGAATTTGGTTTAATGAATACCTTTGGGGGAAGAAATTCCTATTTTCTATGCAGGTGATGTGCTTTCTAGTGGTCTGCAAGAACTTCAAAATATAAGTTGAGTTCTTAGAGTAGGGAACCCGACCAAACTTTAACAGACCTGTTTCTTATAGTACTACCCTCAGCCGAAACACGTTCAATTACAGCTCCTTCTCTTTACCATCTCCTGGGACACCCCCCTGGGGGGGGCACTTGCGGCAGCGTCGGGGGAGTCGACGTGAAATGCAACACAATTTGAAAGTTTCATTGGAAGCACTGGGTCTTAGGTTAAGGGTGCAAACAGAAGCGCATAAGCTTGCGAACCATTCCCAGCCAAATGCTCCGGAGCCCCTTCTTCCAAACACTTTCTCAGAACCTGAGCGCGCTTGTCTTTATATTTGCCAAGGAAAGAAGTGATGCTCCGAAGCCTTTTCCAGCCTCTCTCTGCAAACGAAGCCCAGAACAAGCAGCCTGGTGGTGATTTTGGGCTGCCTTTTCTCTACTCGATCCTGGATCGCTTAAAAACCTGACACTTCTGATCGGGCGCACAGAGAGTAGTAGTTAAAAATCACTAATGCGTTTTTGGGGGGAGGGGGGGCCTTCAAAAGTTTGGCCGTCGTATGCAATTTCCTGGGCGTCTGCTTGAGAGCTGTTGGGTCTACCCGGCCTCGGGAGATCCCAAGCGAGATCCCTTGACTGGGGAGATCTATCTGATGCTTGGCCACGTGCCAAGGCGGGCTTCCCAGGGAAGGAGGGGTGGGTCGGTGGTGGGGGGTCCGCGTGGCCTTGCGCCTCCCCCTCGAGCTGGCCTTTCTCCCACTTCCCCACAGGTAACCCGATCCCGCCCAGCAGCGGGTTGGATGCCATTGTCTTCGCGTTGCCACTGAAACCTTTTTTTTTTTAAACGCCCCGCACAGAGAGATCTTTATCTGGCCTCCCCGTACAAACACAACCCGTGGCCTCTCCAAAGACTTCCAAAGAGTTTTGCAGGGCCTCCAAACGCATCGGTGCCTTTGAAGGGATTAAAGGGCCGAGCCCCTCTCCCACGGCTCCATATGGAGTCCCGGGGAGAAGGGGAAGCCCCCTCCCTCTCCACCCAGCCTCCCCGTCGGGCCTCCGCCTCCCTGACGACGAATGCAGGCACCCACCGCATAGCGGGGGCAGCCGCGGCCCATCCTTGCCTGGTGACTTGTAACTGCTTAATCGGAATCGATACTCCGGAGATGCCGGCAGACGTGGGAAGAGGAAAAGGAGAGGTCGGTGCTGCCTGCCCTCCTGCGCAAAAAAAGCCTTTTATCCACAATCCCAGCAACCAGACAACACAGTTTTAGTATTTGAAAAGTTATCATACCCTCCAACATTTCTCTGGTGAAAAGAGGGACATCCTGTTCAATTATAATTGTACCCCACCCATCTGACATATAAAAACTTCCCTATGCAGTGGTACCTCAGGTTACATACGCTTCAGGTTACATACTCCACTAACCCAGAAATATTACCTCGCGTTAAGAACTTTGCTTCAGGATGAGAACAGAAATCGTGCTCTGGCGGCGCGGCGGCAGCAGGAGGCCCCATTAGCTAAAGTGGTGCTTCAGGTTAAGAACAGTTTCAGCTTAAGAACGGACCTCCGGAATGAATTAAGTTCTTAACCTGCTGTACCACTGTACAAGGTTGCCTTCAGGTGTCTTCTAAAGGTTGTATAGCTACTGATCTCCTTGGTTTGGGGGTCACATAACTCCATAAAGGTAAAGGGCCCCCTGACCGTTAGGTCCAGTCACGGACGATTCTGGGGTTGAGGCGCTCATCTTATTTACTGGCTGAGGGAGCCGGTGTTTGTCCGCAGACAGTTTTTCCAGGTCATGTGGCCAGCATGACTAAGCCGCTTCTGGGGAAACCAGAGCAGCGCATGGAAACACTGTTTACCTTCCCGCCAGAGCGGTACCTATTTATCTACTTGCACTTTGACGTGCTTTCGAACTGCTAGGTTGGCAGGAGCAGGGACCGAGCAACGGGAGCTCACCCCGTCGCGGGGATTCGAACTGCCAACCTTCTAATCAGCAAGCCCTAGGCTCTGTGGTTTAGACCACAGCGCCACCCGTGTCCCTTCACATAACTCCATACACTCCACCAATTCTCTGATGAAAATGGGGACGATGAAAAAGTGGGACAATCAGAAACTGGGGCAGCTTTCTGTAAATCCAGGACTGTCCTTGGAAAATAGGGACACTTGGAGGGTCTGCTATATTATAGAATTGCAGAGTTGGAAGGGACAACCAGGGTCATCTAAGTTCAACCCTCTGCAATGCAGGAACCTTTTTGGCCCAACCTGGGGCTCGAACCCACAACCCTGAAATTAAAGAGCCTCACGCAATGTTTCTGAATGATCATGGGATGAATAGGCATCCTTCAAATGGCTTCTGGAGAAGTTTTGGCTGCAGGTGTTGCTTGGATAAAACCGGGATTCCATGTTGTAGAAAAGCACAGCTAAATATGCTTTGTTTCCTCCAAAGTGAGCGCACCAGTTTCAGTGGGATTTACTCCCAAGGAAGTTTGGATAAGTTTGCAGTCTTACAGTGCAATTCTATACCTGCCTATTCAGAAATAAAACCCACTGAGTCAGTGGGACTTACATAGATGTATAGGATAGCCTTGTAAAATAGGATGAATTGGTGTGTGTGTGTGAAGTGGGTGTCTGGGCTTTGGACCAAATCAAATGAGACAGAATACCTCAGGGTGGCAATCATTTGCTGCCTGTTCAGTTAGTTTTGGAAAGTGAGTGTATTCCACTCCTCTTAAATAGGGTCAAAATTAATTGCTTTTTAAAATTATTTTTTAAAGGCCTTAGAAGATCACAGTGCTATATATTTATTTCACAAATTTGTTTTCCGTCTTTGGGAGATACACAGGTACATCAAGGCCAAATTTGCTCAATATTACACAAAAGCAGGAAAAGAGACACAGCAGGAATTAAAAAATAATAATAATTAAGAGAACATCGAGAGCCCAGACAAGTAACAGTGCAGTCCTATGCGTGTCTACTGCGAAAGAAGTCCCAGTTCAGTGTGTACAGCATTGCGGTCTGAGCTTGCAAGCGCCTGCATACTTTACTTGACAGTGCAACTCAGTAGGGCTTACTTCCAAGTAGACACGCATATAAGATTGTGATGCAAATGCAAGAGAGGACTGGGAGCAACCTTAACTCCTTGTTCTCTGGTCTAGGATACTCCACAAGTAAACGGCAGCCGCAGGTTGAGGGTTTCCAACTTGGCCACAGAGAAGAGAAAGTTATCTAGAAGCCCATGTTGTCGTGGCCTCAGCCTGGGTGGGATAAGAGGGCAGCAGCAAGGCAAAGCTACTGACCTGTCTCCCTAGAGACAGCAGTAGTTAGAAGGTGATGGGTTTAGGCTTCTTGGCGGTCTTCCCTTCCCTGAAGAGGCATCTCCACCCACTTTCTTCTTCTTTACTCCACAGGGAAAGGGGGACAAAGGCAACCTGGAGAAAAGGAGAGCAAAGAGGTGGTTAATTTTCCCAGGTCACTCAGCAAAGAGAATCTGGAGTACTGCCAGGAAATTTGCACACAGTGCTTTCCCTAAAAGCTCAAACTCTCCAGAGTTGGGTTTTTTTAAAGCAGTAGCTTTTACAGGTTTCTTACATTTATATTCCATTTTTCTTCTATTGTGGAACCCAAGGCATATGTGGTTCCCAGGCAGACTCTCACCTGGACACTGAGTAGACCTGGACCAACTTACCATATTTTTCGCTCTATAAGACGCACCAGACCACAAGATGTACCTAGTTTTTGGAGGAGGAAAACAAGAAAAAAAAAATTCTGAATCTCAAGTGCAGTGAAAGCAGCAATCCCTCTTGCTGTTCTGGCTTCTGTGATACCTGCGCAGCCTGCATTCGCTCCATAAGACGCACACACATTTCCCGTTACCTTTTAGGAGGGAAAAAGTGAGTCTTATAGAGCAAAAAAATACAGCAAGTTTCAGCCAGGTGGAAGCCTCATGCACCTTCAGACTATGCCTTGGGAACAAATAATCCCACCTATTGGGATGTTACAGTAGTGGATTTCCTGCATTGGCAGAAGGTTTCATTTCACTTTTAATTGGTGTACCGCCTTTGTATATTACTACACACAAGGTGGGTTGCAAGCTAAAGAGACGACAAAGATCACACCCTTTATTAACAATCTGATCCCATTCAAAAATAAAATACAATAATAAAAAAACTCTAAAATAAACAACTTACATCAAATAAAGCAATATTCAATAATCCATTAGAATGTAAGAGTACACAATAAAATAAAATATCAGCAAATAATAAACAGTAAGTGTGGGTGGATGTTAAAGAATCCCACCCCCTCCACAATGGCAAATGCAAAATGTGAAAACTTCGCAAAAAGACTTAGACAGAAGCCAAATACCAAGCACTCATGAAGAATTCAACAAGTTAAGCTT